ACATGCAACACAACTCCTTGTTCAAGCTCTTGTTCTGTCCAGGCTGGACTATTGCAATGCTCTGTTGGCAGGTCTTGCAGCCAGTTCCATCAAACCTTTACAATTAATCCAAAATGCCGCTGCAAGATTAATCTTTAATGAGTCGAAAATAATGCACATCACACCTCAGTTCATCAATTTGCACTGGCTACCAATAGCTGCTCGCGTAAAATTCAAGGCATTAATATTTGCCTACAAAACCATCACTGGCTCTGCACCCCTTTACCTAAATGCATTACTTCAGAGTTATGTGCCCTCTAGAAGCTTGCATTCTGCAAGTGAACGTCGCTTTATTGTGCCATCTCAAAGAGACACAAAATCACTTTCACAGACTTTTACATTAACTGTTCCCTCCTGGTGGAGTGACCTGCCTACTTGTTTTTCTTTGTGTGTATATATATACATATATACCTTGCTACATGTACTGTGTTAGGCAAACCGAGACTTGTCATTTGCACTTATATATTGTCGCTCATTTGTTAGTTTTGATTTCTTCCATTGTCCTCATTTGTAAGTCGCTTTGGATAAAGGTGTCTGCCAAATGATTAAATGTAAATGTATGTATGCAAGTAAAGTTGGATGCACAATATATGTAGAGTTAATTTGCAAAAACAGATATCTGTTATCTATAACAGATAACAGATAACTAAAATGTTCAAAAATCATGTTTTTATTATTATTATGCATTTCAATTAATATCAATCAAGCTGCAGTTGGGTTGTTTTGATTAAATAATAATAACTAAAAAAGTACAGCTAATTAACACAATAAAACAATAAAAAACATGATTTATGAGAATTAATAAAAATGGTCTGTTTTTGCAAATAAAATTTGAAATATATTGCCAATAATATGGTTTAAATGATGCAATATAATTATAATATATAATCAAATATATTAGAAACAACCAAGTAGTTATATATTGTTATACATGAGTCTACTATATGTGAGTAGATAAAAAAGGACATACTTATAGTAGTTGGAGTTATAAATTGCTTATTTATTTGGAGGTTGGACATTCTTTTTTATGTTGTGATATTGAGCATTATGAAACCTGTTTGGTTTGTTCAGTTTATAACTATTTGTATGACAACGCTATTACTGTTTGATGTGTACCTAAATGTTAATCAGTTCAAATTAGAAAATGTTTCTAAATACTTTCTTCCAAATTACCACAGTTTAGTTTATACCAAATAATTACTCTATAAATATATAGTTCAGTGTTTTATTTTGAAATAATGACCATATTTGGCTGTACATTATCCCTTACTTTAATATATTTCACTTAAAACAATAACATTTTTGACTAAAAAAGACAGAGCAGGATTCATCTGCCTGAGACTTGGGGCAATTACCACAACAAGAACACTGTGACTGCTATTAAACCACCACGAATAAAGACAGCAAGTTACACACTCAGAGACTCGAGGTGGCCAAACAACTAGAAAGTAAGCGAGAAAGAGAGTGTTTTCTCCCTAAGGATATTGAATGGAAACTACTCGTTTGGCCGCCTCAATTGGTAAAATAACCACAGCCTGAGGGTCTGTGAAAGAAAGAGAGCCAAACCAACTCCATTTCCTTAGGGACCGACTGAGCTGACTCCCCCATTCTGCCACTAGCTGCTTTCCTTGAAGAAACCTCCAGCTCTCTGAATAGTCTGTGTGAGTGAGTGTGTGTTAATTGAAACGTTTTGTCTAGTGCTAGTGAAGCATTAGGTCTGACCTACATTTATATGTCCCCATAAAACCAGGCCTAGCAGACGGCCAGACACGGCACACTTCAGGTAGCTGCATACTAATCGAAGACATTCCTCGCATACTTCAGACACACACACAGAGGCAAAGGATCATAGATTCCAACTGCATGACATAATTTCCCGTGCCATAATGAAGTCAGCATTAAGCTAAAAAGAACGGATGAGTCGGGAACGTTTGGAAACAGCCAAGACAATGGCACATGATGCTGGAGTTTAAACTAATGATGACATGTCTTAAAAATGGTGATATTAAATAATAAATACTTGTATCTGACATAACGAATATTTGATTCTCTAGAAAACTTTGGTTGAAGTCTGTGATAAGCAAACTTTCTCAAGACAGAAGAGGGACAACTATATCAAGAAAAAACTAATCTGTAACGTAGCAGCACTTTCAGCCCCAAAGACAGAACGATTTATATCTTTATGAACAAAATGACATCAAACTGGAATGATAATAAACACAGTTCCTCTGCATTTGTAAAGTTGTTTACGATAGGTTACTAAACATCTCTGAACAAAAATCCCAGAGAGACACACCTGAATTTCAAACAAAAAGTACCATAGCTTTTTGGACATTGTATCGTGGTAGTAACATGAAGTATTCTTTGAAGTATAAAACTATGGCATATGAAATGTGATAATTAAATTTAGTACCATAGTATATATCAAAGTACTGGTATTACCATCAAATACCATCTACCATGGGACAGTCCATCTCCAGTTTTATGATCAATAAACGTCCTCAAAACTGATTTATAAACTTTCAACAGACCAGTGTAAATAACAGAGCGGTGGCCAGTGAATAGAATAGAATAGAATAGAATAGAATAGAATAGAATATAATGGGATAGAATAGAATAGAATGGGATAGAATAGAATAGAATGGGATAGAATAGAATAGAATAGAATGGGATAGAATAGAATAGAATGGGATATAATAGAATAGAATAGAATGGGATAGGATAGAATAGAATGGGATAGAATAGAATAGAATGGGATTGAATAGAATAAAAGTAAAATGAATAGAATAGAATGGGATAGAATAGAATAGAATGGGATAGAATAGAATAGAATGGGATAGAATAGAATAGAATGGGATAGAATAGAATAGAATGGGATAGAATAGAATAGAATGGGATAGAATAGAATAGAAT